GTCCCATTTGTTCAAATAATCATTAAAATTCATAAATCCTTTTCAAACATTTAGGCGTCACGTGATCTTTCTTTGAACATTTACACTAAATWAATTTATTTTTGCTGGCAAACATTGTGATTAATTTAATGTAATGTTCTTTAATGAACACATTGATTAAAACTCTTCCTCTGAATAATGTGATCAGGATTATTAAAGCAGTAMTAATCTCAATTTCATGGATGTAAACTGAGTATTAATTACAAAATATGAATATTACCATCATTTAATAGTAAAGACAATGAATTCAGAGGTTTAAATTATAGCAGAGGTTCTGATGACTGAATATTTAATGCAACTATTAATAAAAACCTAATTATGGGATGTAGAGACAGGAGAAATGTCCAGGAGTCATCTRTTAGTTTATTCTGCCAGTTGAACAAAACCATGTGATGAAATRAGGCATCTCTCTTAATTATAAACTTTATCATGTGTCGTCTGTTCTGGTCCAGTCCGGTCCGGTCCGAGCCGCTCCAGAACACTCAGACTTTACCTCTGGAACCAGGTGAGTAACAAACCCGAGGAAAGCTAACTGAAGCTAACGGTAAATGTAAGAGAGCTGGAGGATCAGGTGGAGGTTACAGTGTTCTGTCCTCTCATCCACTCTTCATCCACCTTCACCTCATCTTCCTCCTCCTCCTCCTCCTCCTCTCCTCTGTCGTTCTTTTTTCCTTAAACACTTTTCTTCCTGCTCTCGTCCTTCTCCTCTTTACGATTTCATGCATCCTCCTGTTCCTCCTCCCTCCACAGGCTCAGCCGAGCGGAACGCTTCAGTATTAGCTCTGAAATTAGCAGCAGTCTCTCGTTAAAGAGTTGGCAGGAGTGTGGGCCGACACACACACACACACACACACAGTATGAGGTGTTAGACACGCCCACTCTTGTGACACGCCCACTCAGGGGGAGCTGGCAGACTGAGGTCTGGACAAACCAGGTCGGCTTCAGTCTCAGACACACCAGCCCTCCTGGACAGATGGACCTGTCTGTGTGCCCGAGACAGTGTCTGGGTCTGATGCCCGTCCTTGAATGAAGTGATGGTCAAACTGTGTGTGTGTGTGTGTGTGTGTGTGTGTGTGTGTGTGTGTGTG